TCATGCCACTCTTGCACTGCCTTGATGGCCGCTCTCCTCAGCTTCTGCGCCACCTCCTTGGGCGGGGGAAGCGGCTGCTCGTGGTCTATGCCCACCGTGAGCTCCAGGAACCCCTGGAAGTTGGCGATAAGCAGCGTCCTGAAGTGGTGGGACCTGGCGAAGAGCTCCTGCACCACCTGGAAGGCGGAGAAGCGCATCTCGGCGTGCTCCTCCTGCAGCCGCGTCAGCAGCAGGTGGTACGCCTGGCTCACCTGCTCCTCCGACGACCTGAGCGCGGGGAAAACCAAGAACAACGAGGGGGGGATATTTAAAAAGACGCTCAGCACGTACAAACGTCAGCTCGGGGATGTAATTTATTTTAAATTTTAAGCGAACAGCTTCTGTGCCGGCAGCACCCAGTCCCCACAGCAGGGCCCAGAACAGCGCTCGGGGCGGTTCTGTCCGGGACTGCCGACCTGGGGACAACAGCGGGGCCCGGCTCTGTCCCTCCCTCCGGCCGTACTTGCAGATCTTCTTCAGCTCCTTCATCCTGCCGGGCTCCAGCCGCGGCTCCCCCGAGGTGGTGAGCTCCTCCACCAGCTCAGCCAGGCGCTGGTCCATCTCGGCCGGCAGCGAGGCACCGGAGCTGCCGGGACACCCGCCCCGAAGGTCCCTCAAGCCGGGGAAGCCCCGGCCGGGCAGCACCAGCGCCGACGGGCCCGGCCGCGGCTGGGCGGCGCCATCTTCCGGCCCTCAGCGGGGCCCCGCCCCGAGGAAGCCACGCCCCTTACACGGCCCGGCGCTTGCGCAGGCCCCGCCCCGATTAAACCACGCCCCTTACACGGCCCGGCGCTTGCGCAGGCCCCGCCCCCTGTAAGCCACGCCCCTTACACGGCCCGGCGCTTGCGCAGGCCCCGCCCCTCAGGGTGAACACGCCCTCGTATATCCACGCCCACAACGAGCCACACCCACAATGAGCCGCGCCCCCTGTCTGAGCCCCGCCCCTTTGGGCTGCTGCTCCCCCCGCCCCGCCGCGGGTGGTACCTTCCTCCCCCCCCCTCGGCACCTACCATCTCCCCCGCCCACGTGACGGGCCGGCACGCGGAAGCGCGGCCGGGGGAGGGCGGGGGAAGCCTTAAAGGCGCCGCGCCCCGGTTTTGTCTGAGGGGCTGTTGTGTTGAACCCGCCCCGAGGGGCGAGCAGAGTCAGTGACACCCCCGAGATCATCGACAGAACCAAACACCACCGCCTCAGCCTTTCCTTAAACACCTGCAGGGGCTGGGCAGCCCGTCCCAAGGCGCAATCGCGCTTTCTGTGAAGAAATTCCTCCTCATGCCCGACCTCAACCTCCCGCCTCCGAGCTGCCCGTCCGGTCCCGCGGCTGTTCGCGGGGCAGCAGAGCCCGATCCCTCCCGGCCTGCAGCCCCCGGCAGGGAATGCAGAGGTCCGGGAGCCTCCCCGGAGCCTCAGCCGCCCTCACCGCAGCTCGCAGGCTCAAACCCTCCCGCGGCTCCGTCCCCGGCACCTCGGGGCCCTTCCTGTGAGGGGCACGGGAGGGTCCGTGCGAGCCTGGCGGGACTGCGGGCCTGCACGCCCCCGCGCTGAAAGCGCTGCTTCATGAACAACACCTAGCAGGTGCCCGCTTCGAGCATCCTAAAGAGGGAAGACGTCTAAAATATCTGTTCCCGTTTGAGGATAATTGACAGGTATTTCCATTAATCCACGGTTCAGGCACGTGTTGGAAGGGATTTCTGTGGGTTGGCGTTGCAGCTGTGTCTGCTGGCTCCTGTGGTCAGCAAAGATGGCATTGAACAATTTTCACTAGAAATGGACTCGTGTCTTCAACCACATTTACTGCAGGAAATGAATACATACATTATGCAGTGGCTCTGATATTTCTGACTCTATACATGAATCCAGTGACATCCTAATTTTAATAATGTTTATCCTTTCACCATTGCCTTCCATCAAGCACAGTGAATTTCCATGTGAAAGTCACTCAGGGTGGCACAGCTCGTCTGTAAGGTTTAGATCAGTTTACTCTTTTTTCACTGTTTTTATCTATTTCTTTTCTCCATTTGATTGAAAGTGCCAGAACAACTGCTTTCTGTTAGGGTATGACTTGCAAAAGGAGCATTGCTGTGCTATCTGGAAACAGAATTTCAAAAAGAGCCTCAAGCAACAGACTTAGCATCTACAAAGGCAGTGATTTCATACTTCTGCATAATGTTTAACGAAATCCTTGCAAGGAGCCATATGGTTTTGCAAAGAATCAGTTGATGAATGAATGAATGAGTGATGAGTTGTATAACTCATTCATGATAGTCCCTTAGGCAAATCCCAATGAGAGCGAGGCTGTTTATTTATTTATTTGTCAAATTCAAAGACAATTACATAAAATTGTGTTGGCTTAAGTTGCTGAGTCTCCTTTTCCCTTCTACTTTTAATGAACGTGGCAAATATCCACCATTCAATCATTTCCATATTCTCTTCATCTGGACCAGCCTGATAAAAGGCTGAAGAGAGCCTGAACAGTAAAAAATGCATTCAGCTGCAAAAGTCACAAACTTCTGCACCTGCATTGATTTTCCCCAGCTGGTCTGGGCTGTTCCACAGAGAGGAACACAGAACATGTGGAGTGCAGAGGAGGGCTGAACATCAGCTGATATCCCTTCAGAGCCTTAGAGTTCAATTTTATTTTTTTTTGTGTACACCTGGTTTCAGCAAATCCTGGGTCTGTAGCTTGATGTTATGGGGATTGTTGAATCAAGGAGTTGCATTTCTTACACCTGTACTGAGACATCAGCAAGAGCAACGTGGTGACACTTTGTGAGTGCTCTGAGGTGAGCGACACCTTGCAGGAGCACAGACTCTTCCAGAAACTCTGTCTTGTCCACCACCACTCCAGAATACCCAATGTCCTCATTGGCAGGAGCCCTTTGCAATGGGAATGTTCTCCTGCAGGAAGGTATCTCCACACAGGACTAGCTGGTCCATCAGAGGTTATCCTCAGTTGGTCCAGTACCTTTGGCTAAACACATAGGCAAAGAAAATCTTCAGAATTTTGTCCACTGACAATTATTTGGGTCTGGGTGTTCTTACACTTAAGAACCATTTATTCCATCACAAATTTAAAAGGTAAAACTACTGGCTCTAGGAAGGATTATTTCAGACTTTGTGCAATGCTAAATTATCTGGTTTAGTTTTTTATATAAAAGAAACATCTCAGCAAGAGTCAGTTCTGCCTTTTTACTAGATGATTCTTTGCCAAGGGTTGTTTTCCAGCTTTGCAATAAAAGAGAATGTCAGTCAAAAATAAACCCCCCATAACTTTTAAGATAGCTGTATTCAGCTTAATGACATGAAATTAAAAAGGAGGATTTCTTCCCCTGCCAAAATGGAACTTTGGCAAAGAAAGGCTTCCCTACAAATAATTTGGAGCTAAAATAACTTTCATTTCAGGTCTGAAGATAAAGAAACATGATAAACACTTACATTAAATTGTCACAGAGTTTGTGCCAATTGGGTTGTAAAGAAAATGACCTATGTGAGTGGCATAGATGCTGAACCAGCAGTTTGAGTTGAGCAAAAGAGTGACAGATATTTCAGAGCTCTGAGCTACCTTGTAAGGGGTAAAGAGTATATTTAAACAGATGTTCTCAAAGGGGAAATAGCCTATTCATTAAACCATCAATAATGCAAGGCCAAAGGTGCTTGGTGACCTCCTCTGATTATGTGAAATAGTGACTGTGACAACATTTCAGCCTACTGTAACATTTAATAATTCTGGTATAGAAGGAGATGAGTGAACCTGCTCTGGGTGGTCTAGATCACTAATTAAATATCCATTTGTAAATTGGATGGAGCAGCAATAGCTGTAGGAGAACCACCACAAATCGAAGAGCACCTTCCTACACATAGCTTGTACTCATGTCTAGAATAATTTTTAAAAATGATCCTACAACAATTCCTGAAAGTGCACAACAATGTGGACACAGTTGATTAGTATCAATGAAGGTAAATGGTTTTTTCTTCACTGGAATATCTGTGCAGTCTCAAAGTGGAGCTTAATGAGCATTTTTCTGTGTTAGACAATATATATCCACACCAGGAGTTAATATTTGTACATGAATGCACCCAAAATAAACTAACACACTGCAGTGCACAGGGGTGTCTTTGGGGGTCAGGGCAATACCAGCCTGTAAGGCAGGACTCAGATGGTGCAGGAAAGGAGCAGCTTGAAGGTTGTTAACACGTAGAAAAGGAGACTGCAGAGGAAAAGAAGGCCCCAAAGGCTACCAAAGAGGAAACCCAGTCCAAATTCTTCATGAAGACCCTCTGAATCTAAATCACACAGAGACAGAAATGACACTTTCCTGGGTGTGTAAATACTGCTTTCAGACACTTGGTGTTAGCAGAAAATCCTTAGGCAGCCTGCAGAGACTGGTTTGGGTGTCACATTGACATTGACGGTGCTGTTGAGAAGCTCCTTCAGCCTGATGGATGCCTGAGCTGACCCATCCTTGCACAGCCTTAGGCTGTGAGCTGCAGTCACTCAAGCTGCTTTCTCCAAATGGAGAAACGCTTTCTTCTGCATGGGGTTTTTTTCTGCATGGAGCTGTGGCTCAGATACCAAATGAATTCCTTTTCTCTTTTTTTTTCCCAAGGATGTGGAAAGGAGAGAACTGCTCTGAAGCTGCTGAAAGCTGCAGAGCTGCCTCCAGTTCAAGGGGAGTGAAGCCCTTTCCTGAAGAGGAGCTGCTGCTGCTGTTTCAGACAGGGATGGGTGCTGGGCCTGTGTGTGTCTCACTGCACAGCCACTGTCTGCTCTGGGCTTTGCTCTGCAGGATCCTCTGTCCTGCTGAAGCACCAGGCAGCTTGGACCCACAGTGCCACTGCAGTCCCTGGCTCACAGCAGTGAGTCCTCACCATCCCTCTAAATCCACTGGCCCCCAGCACCAGCACAGTGCCCAAAGGAGCCTGCTCTCAGCCTTCAGCCCTGTTCAGCATTTCCAACATCTTCTATTTGCAGTGAGCAAGAAAGCCTCATGGATCAAAAGGAGCTTTGCCAGGGAAAATTTCTTTTACTGTTATGATAAAAGGATGTCTTGTCTCCATGAAGAGATTACTTATACAGGTCAGCTTTTGCAGGCAGGAGGAAAGTCCCTGGCTCGAGGAGATTACAAGGTAGGTGGGACAAAAATAGAGTGTATAGACCACAGTCTGAGAGGGAAATAATGTTGATGTACAACTAAAAGGAAGAAGAAAGTCTCTTGAAGAGCAGGAGGTAGCAAGTCTTATGTCTGCAGCTGTTTATGCTTTTAAGGAGATGTGTTGCACTTCTGTGGCTCAATACTTAAGTTGAAACAGAACAGGAAAATATTTATTATTATTTCATGTATTTGGACCCCTTTACATACTCTCAATTTCTGCAGCGAGGTCACAACACAGCTGTCACAGGTCACAACAGTTCTACTGACCAACATTCTTTTATATTTTGCGCTTGCTGCTAGGAATCCTAAACGGTTCACTTTATTATTTTTTTTTTAATTTTTTTTGGCAATTAAACCTCAGTATAGCTTGCAATAAGACTTGCAGGTACAGGCAGCACATCCCTTGAGCAGCAGCACCTCCTGCAGGGTGTTGCTCATGCAGCCACTCCTATCCTGTGTTTCAGTTTGTCTCACCTGAGTGCTAAAAAGCCTCTTAACTGAATGATTCCTGCTTTTCCTCTTTGCACAAGTCATAGCGGTAAAATTCTACCAAATACTGAAAAAGCAGTATTTGTGGTGAACACTTCTCGGTAAGCTGTACAAAAAATTCTCTTTATATCCTTGACATCCAGTTCTGCTCCAGGTGATGGAACCTGAATTCTAGTCAAGTATGGGGTTTATTTTTTTGAAATGTAAACAAAACTGGCAGGCAGCAGTTTCAAGGTCTATTTATAGGGATAGCAAAGGAAACTGCACTGCTAGCACTGGTCTGAGCTGGGGGACTGTGAGAGCCTCTGCTCAGCTGAAACCACAGAAAATACTGTCACTGCCTTTGTCACTGCATTCCTGCATGGCCACGAGAGGCACAGCCCCTGAGAGACACGGCCTTCTGCCTGCTGAGGGAAAAAGTTCTCCATTTATTTAGAAAGTGTTTTATTTATTTAATAACCCCCAAAATACCCAAACAAACAAAACCAACCAAACCCCCCCCCAAAAAAAAAAACCCTAAAGCTATGTCTTTTTTTTAGGGAAAAAATATTATTAGTTAAGCTCACAGAACTATGAGAAATACTTTTTTTTCAGATAAGTGTATTTTCAAATGGGAATAAAAATTAAATTTATACAGAAGCATAATATCCTTTTAAGAAGAGTTTATTTGCAGATAACAGTAAAAATTGACATTATAAAGCTGTGAACTTTGTCACTCTTTACCACAAGTGTGCCTAGTGAATTGCACACACCATAAACTCGATTTATTTCCCCCTCCAGGAGCAGCCCGGGGCATTTCTGCCGGCGTCAAGCCACACGCGGGGGCACCACTGGAGGCTCCTGCAGGAGCGGCTGCCGGGTGCGGGATGTCCCCGTGTCCCCGCCGGCGCTGCCCTGGGCGCAGCCCCCAGCAGGTGGCAATGCAGGAACACCTGGAGCCCGTCCAGCCGGGAAAGGCTGGGGCTGAGACCGCTCTTCCTGGGGGAAAGCCTCGCCTTGGAAATCCTGCTCGATGTTTGCAGCGTCAGCTACGAATCCTGTACGCTGTCAGCGAGAGATTTTGTTTAGTTTTTAAACTGTAGGATTTGAGCTTAGAGGCTTTGAAGCAGCAGCCTGTGGCAGTGGGGTGGATGTGCCAAAACCTTCGGGGTCACCTGGAAAAGTCATGGAATCATTTATGTAGGAAAGGATCCCCAAGAGAATCAAGTCCAGCCATTAACCCAGCATTATCAAGGCCACATGTGACAGAAACGTAAATGTTACATTTATGTGTAGATACCTACATACCTACACTCACATATACATACACACACACACACACACACACACATATGTAAAATGTCTCTTAAGAACCCCACTCTCAACCCTTTTTCCCATATTCTGTTGCATCTTCCATCCCTATGTAAAGCCACACTGTTTCCAAGCCTGGAATAAATCCTGAAACAGATTTGAACCTTTAAACATCATCAAAGTCTGACAATAAAGTAGGCAAAAGAGGAGATTTTGTTTGAACAAAGCATTCCTGTGTATCATATCATAGGAACAATTTTTTAAAAGAGAACATGTCTCTGAGAAAGCACTGAAGGTAGGGGCATTTTCCAAGAAATGTGCCTGTAGAGGTAAATTAATAGAATTTTAATTCAATAATTAATAATTAAATACATAAATATTCAATAATAATAATTTAATTAATTCACCTCTACAAGCTTGAATGTGCTTGTAGAGGTAAATTAATTGAATAAACCAAAATATAGAAACAGAAAAATACAGAAGCATTAAAATTGCCTAGTGGTACACTGCCTTTTTTCTAAATACACATGCACACACAAAAATTCTCACCTAAAACAAATAAAACCAACCTCTAACCCCCCCCAAACAAACCAACAAAAATACCCCCTCCTCCCCAAATTCTAAAGCCATTTAAAAAAATCATTATGGAAGATATTTGAGCTTGTTAAGAAATCAATGGAAAAAGCTTGATTGCACTAAAAAGCTGCTGAAAAAAATTATTTTCCCTTCTTTTTATAACTGTAAAACCTGTTCCTGTCAGAGAAGTGACTCTGCCTTGAAAGGCTGGGGCTGGTGAACTGAAATCACAACGGAGCTGCCAAAACACTGCCCTGGGCACCATAACCACAGCTTGGTTAAAGTGGCTGCAGAGGAATTGATGCTGAGAGGCTCCATTGCATGTGTCAAACACAGTGTAACTTTGCTTGCTACTAACAAGGAATCCAAATTATCTGCAATCACTATGGTTTCTCTCACTCCAAATGCTTCTATCACGGCTTGGACTCTGTTTTAAACGGTACAATAAAAACCTTAGGGAACAAAATCTATCTGATGCAGAAATACACTGCATTGTTTCTTCAAAAGTATCACAGATCTTGAACTGCACAGGAATATTTAATGTCAATCCATGTTCTGTATTTGCTGCATAGAAAAGCAGCAGTTGTTGCTATTTCAGAACCATCAGCAAATTTCAAATATGCCTTGATTATACAGAATCACACTGTGGGAACAGCAGGGTTAAACAGCTTCAGAGCAATAACAAAAAGCACTAAGTAGTTTAAGCTCTGTAAAATATGTAAACAGCACAGCAAATACTAAAATAATATGCATTTTGTAAAGTTCTTTAAAAAATTCTGTGACATATAGGAAGGGTACAAGAACAAACAGCAGAAAAGAGATAGTTGCAATAGTGCCTACTAGTAAAGATTTAAATCAGTTTCAAGTATTGCTGGGTAACTTATTCATAAAATAAAATTATCTTCAGGGAAAAATATCACATTAAGTGATTCTGAGTATAGCAGTGAAAAACACAAGGAACAAAAGATGAATTCAAACTGGAAACCAGGCACATATTTTACCAGTGAGGAAACAGATTCTCTGTGTCATGATGATGTTTTTCTGACAGATGTGCTTGAACCAAACAGCCCTGGATTGTAAATTATTTGAGACTCGACATCCAAAATCAGGACACTGGAGATCTGTTGCCACTGGCTCTTTTGGAAGGCATTACATTACAAAGAAGACTTTTTACACAAAACAGAGATGGCAGGACATGAAAATCCTGGTGACTCAGACAGTAACTATTCTGTCGACTCGTGGAGTTATCAGTGGATGCTGGAGAGGGGACAGCACAGAGAGGGAGAGTGTTTTGCAGGTAGAGCATAATGAAAAGGATATGATGTCTCTTTGAAGCATCCTTGATTTAAAAGTGACTACTGGAAGTTCTCAAGAATGTTCCAAATTTCAGGACTCAATTACCTAAGGACAAAGAAGGGTTATAGGAAGGTTCCTCTAATGGTGGGAGCAGCCCCTCTAACTGCTTGGAGCAGATGAAGCTGTGAGTTGGCATTTTTAATCTTTGGTATTTTAACAGGACTGATCCATACTGGTGTAAATAGTGGGATTTGCACAAAGTTTTAGAACATTCCAGAAACTTGTTCTATGAGACTTCATATTTTTGCCTATATTTTCTAGTACCTCTTCACCTGAGCAAGATCTTCACCTATACCTTGAGGTGTTATTTCCAAATAACCATCCAAAGTTTCAGTGTTAGGTTCTCTGGCCCAAAGATTCTTGGCTTCTTTGGCCAAGACAAAATTGACACCAGCACTCTGAGTTCTTGTCATGGTGTTCTTGGAAATACAAGATGTGGAGGGAAAGAATTAAGCCAAACACTTCATTCAGATAAAAATTTACTCCAGCATCTCACATCCTCAAATGCAGAGATCACAGGTGATGTTATTTATGGCTTCCCAGTACAAAGAAAGCAGTCATTATCCTTTGCTAATTGGTTTAGAATAAGGGAGGTATTTCTGGATGTGGCAGCTGCTAATCTTACTTCAGTGAGGAATTCTTAATTTTACCTCCTCAGAAGAAGGTTCCAGAGACACAGGGAGTATGTTTTGTCCAAGGGCAGGATAATTTTTATCTTAACAGGCTAGGTGATGTTCTTTTCAATTATTATAAAAATTAGATGTGTCAAAGAAGATCTGTTACTCACTGAAAGAGCAAACCAGCAATTCAGCTGTAGCATCTGTGCTTTTCTCTGTACCTGGCAGCTAAACTGAATCATTAGCTGTCCTATAACACCAGCACCCTGTTTATTTACTGTTTTTTGAAGTAGGATAATGCAGCAGTGAAGCCAGATAGCTGGCAATGGATGACAGTGACATTCAAAGAAAACAGATGCCACAAAGCCTGGATCATCAGAGGGTATGTACATCTGAGATCAACATTTGCAAAGTGCTGCTGGAAAAGAAGAGCCAGCAGATTTGCATCAGCAGCATCAATTCTCATCTATTCTTTCCTGTCTGACCGTCTGATAAGATAGAATCACTCACTCACTGGTATTTGTCCCCTTCCAGGGTTGTTCCTCCTGGAGCTGGCCGTGGCTCAGCTCCCACACACAAAGGTTGGCAGCACAGCTGCTCCAGGCACCTTCTGTACCCAGAGGAGGGACAAGTTCAAATGCCCTGAGGACAAGTTCCACTTACAGCCTCCAAGCCTGTTTGGCTCAAGCCTCATGCCAACTCCAGGAAAGAGCCAGGAAGCAGGCTGGAATACTCCTGAGACAGGCATGTGACACTGCACTCAGCTGATCAGAGCTGGGGGTGTCCCTCCCCTCCATCGCAGACCTCTCCATTCTGCTCAGGTGTCTGCAGCTGGCACACACAGCACAAGATGCTGCTGCTGCTGCTTCCCTCGCTCCAGCAGCCACCCACAGCAATGCTCCCCTGGTGCATCCCCCACCACCCAGCCTGAGTTCTGCATTTCCTATGGTGGAAGTCAGCCCTGTAAAGTGATGTTGCTTATGGCCACAAATTGGAACAAACAATTCCATGAACTCCTGTGCGCGGAGAAGCAGGACAATGAGACAGCGACTTGAGGGTGCAGGGTTTAAAACAGAAAATCGTGTCACAATCCTCATGGAGAAAGAGCCTCTTCTCCCATAGCACTGATCAAATCAGCTGCCTCTGAGGAGCCACCTCAAAAGGAGAGGGGCCAGCAACAAGCAGCCAGGGGTTCAAACGCTGCCTGTTGGGTTTCTGCTGTCCCAGAGCAGTTCTGCCAGTAGGGCACAGAGCTGGTTCCAGTGGAGGCGTTCACTGGGCATTACAGCATGATGCCAGGATGATGCCCTGCATGGCAGGAATTAATACAAGGTTTTCCTTAATGACTGTATCCAGGGCAACTTAAGCTTCTCTAAGATAAATTTCCCCCTGTCCCTTCCAGTCTCTAATAAAATATTTCTCTGGTTTGCATCCCTAAAGCTGCTACTTGAAAGAGGAGACATCTCCATAAGGGGCACGCACGGGCACCCTGAAGAACTTTCCATAGCTCTGCTCCTGGCTCATCTGAGCAATTTGTCTTGCTGTAGTTTGCAAAGAAAGAAAAGAAAATTGTATCTTGGTTTATTATCTGTTTATTTTCTTTTGGGGAATTTGTCTATAATCTCCATCTCCATGGGTGGGGAACAAAATATTTAAGTTAGTTAAAGATCTTTTTGTCCTGAAGTGAATAGACCTTATAATAGTTTTCTCCTCATTCTTCCTTCTGGCTCTGTCAGGAAAAAGTCCTGGCTGGGAATACAGATATGTCCCTGGGAAAATTTGCTCCTCTGCTCTGTGGGGTAGGTATAACTATTTCCTTAAATGCACAACATAAAATTTTACCTTATGGGGATAGGAAATAGTGTCAAAGGAGTAGGTACAGATGTTATCCCCCACTTAACCAGCTTTAGTTTTCCATTTTAGTTCAGGAAACTGAACACCTCAATGATTTCTCCACTCCAGCTACAGTGTAAGAGACATGACCTGAACACCCAGGAGCGTTCCAGCTGCCAGCGCAGCAGCACCAGACCCCTCTGCAGCCCCAGCACCAGAAGGATCTGAACCTGCTGGAGCGAGTCCAGAGGGGGCCACAAAGGTGATCAGAGGGCTGGAGCCCCTCTGCTGTGGGGACAGGCTGAGACAGCTGGGGGTGCTCAGCTTGCAAAAGGCTTTGGGGAGACCTTCCAGCACCTTCTAGAATCTAAAGGGGTTACAAGGACTTTTGACAAGGCCATGGAGTGACAAGGGGCACTGGCTTCAAACCAGCAGAGGGCAGGGTTAGATTGGATATAGGGAAGAAATTCTTTGCTGTGAAGGTGGGGAGGCCCTGGCACAGGTGCCCAGAGAACCTGCGGCTGCCCTTTCCCTGGCAGTGTCCAAGGCCAGGTTGGGCAGGGTTTGGAGCAACCTGGGATAGTAGAAGTGTCCCTGCCCATGGCAGGGGGTTGGAATGAGATGATCTGCAAGGTTGCTTCCAACCCAAACCATTCTGATCTACGTGATACGATTCCCAGACTGGATACTAGAGCAGCTTCTTTCCATTAGAGCTGAACAATTAACAATCCCAGGAGACTGATCACTTGGTTTCTGTAACAGGCACAGTCTTTTTCTCTTCCATGTTGCTATTTCTGGTTATTGTTATTTCTGGTTTCCTTGGTGCATCTCCCTCTCCATGCTGCCCACCGATGTCGCACATTCCCATTTTTATTAGGAGTAGGCAGCAAGGTGCTGGGTGCAGTTTTGTAACAAAGTCTGGATCTCTGTCACACATTAATTCCATGTTAATTTTTTCTTTCACTTTTAAAACCTTCAGTTATTTTAATCTCTTTGAAAGGTAGCTGGCTGATAACATTTCTTAACTCTACTCTGATGCTTGATCTCATTTTTGATGAGTCAAACCAAACAGCTTTTCTTGTTCAGCAGTCCTTTCTGTTTCTTGTTCTACTATTTCCTATTGTTCTTCTTGTGGTGCTACTTACCCTACAGCTGATTTCCTCTGGCTTAGCATACAGATCTCTCAGAATTGTAACATGATCAAATAGCCATGAATCAAATAGGAAAATGTAGTCAAAAATACCTGATTGACAACTGTGAGAGCCTCAGTGAAATCAACTTGTGGCCAGCTAGCAATGAGGACTACTTTCATTTTTGATATTAAGAACTCCCATGTACAGTTTTGGAATTTCAGTTCAAACTGAGATCAGGACTACATCTCTTAGGACTTTTTTTCACTACCTAGTTCTAACACTACTTCTCACAAAAGCCCTCACATCCAACAGTAACTGAACTGTAACTTGCTCCCTCTTGCTGGCCTTGATTGCAAATTTTTTGCCCCTGACTGTGCCAGATACTTCTACATACAGAACCTACCTGGTTCTAAGAGGATGTGTAGTAAAGAGTTAAGAAATTCTGCTGTCCTGCTCTGCCCATCCTACATCTCCTTCTAAAACAAAGTTGAGCTCCTGACAACTTCTCAGAGCTTAGCTAAGAGGGCTAAGTCTTTAAAATAAATGACTGAATTAAGAAAAATGCTGCCTTTCAGTGTGTCTGATGCATGCTACAGAACCAACAAGACACTGAATCTCTTGGCAGGGAGATCCTGGTGAGTATCTCATCTCCCCCATCATCATACAAGGAATAGATTCAGTGACTGGGAGAAAATATTGGAAATGAGTTTATCTGTTCAAGGATGAGATGAAGATCAGACATGACCAATTACCATGTGAATCTGGGCTGGGCTTTATTTGGTGTTCAGAATACCTCATTATGGAACATGAAAATGCAGGATGGAAAAGTTTTAAATACTCATTTAGTTGTATCAAGTGACCTCTATTGTGCAACAAGATGCCCAGTGCACATTGTCACAGTGTGGGTCTCAAAGGACCCTCAATAAAAGTGTTTAGTGTGCTTCCCAACACCCTCTGCTCAGGCTACCTGAGGCTGAAAAAAAAGCAAGTCAGAGTATTCCTTTTTTTTTTTTTTTTTTTCTCTGAACAATGGTCCATTATGCATGTTCAAAAGCTTCTTTCTGGCAGATTTCCAGCTGTAATTTTATCATTCTTCCTGTCCCAAATAATATATTCTTTTCTTCTTTTTTCCTCCCCCCTCCAAGTAGTTTCATTACTAAGTAGAAAAGGCCATGCTTACATTAAAAAAAACCCCAAACCCTGACCACTTCATGAGTCTTTAAAGCTTGCAAGAAAAACGTTTTGCCTGAGTTTGGTATCAGCTTTGCTATCTCCTACCTACAAAATGTTGTGACCCCAGCATCCTGAACCCTTCTCAGCCTGGAAGATAATGGAAGCTGGAACAGGTACCAAAAAGCCCAGGGCACTGTGAAGAGTTAGCAGTATCTCTCTTTTGCAATACTGAAAAACCTTCAGCATTAAGAGGGCTTTGGACCACAACAAACAGAAGGTTAAGACAATTCTCAGCCTTGGTGTAACTGTGGGAATCGGAGTAACATGTTCTGATCACAACTGGGACAAACTGCTGCCTTCAAACAGGAACACCACAACCAAAATCCAGAGCCTCATTAAGCTGCCTGGTAGGACTGAAAAGACATCCCAGTGAAGGATAGTGTTCATTTCCAGCTCAGCCAGATCTTGAGAAGAAAGTGTCTTTGCTTTACTAGAAAGCTTCTACCACCTCAACTAACTTTATACTTACTCTGAGTCACCTGCTGCTCTTGGTTTGATGTCTGGGGTCACCTGTGAGATGAGCTGTGAACCAACACCTCTGTTGGATTGGGAGCTCAAGGCTGCACTGAGCAGGCAGGGAATGCAAACCAGAGCTCCAAGCTGCTCTGCACCAAAGCAGAGCAGACTGCCACCATTTCTGACCCTCATACAGCTGGAGGCTTCCAGAGCCATGGCAGAGCAAGCAGCCCAGCAGCTCAGGAGGCTGCAGCTGCCTGTGGCACACAGGCCTTGCTGCAGACAGAATGGGTTGTGTGACTGCAGATTTCCAAAGTGAGCAATCGGAGCTAACAAACAGCTGAAGCTCCCCTACGCTCCTTCTGGAACCCTCCCTTGTAACACACCATCAGGGACTGAGTCCTCATGTTGGCTGGCACCTGGCCCTCTGCAATCACACCTCCCAGAAACAGAGGCCCTCCTTGTAGGACAGCTGTTCTCTTCTCCTCCCATCCCAAACTAGGTTTTTCTGGAGAGTGTGGGTTTCTCCACCACTGTACTCAGGTCACAGAAATCAAAAAAGGCTGGTCTCAGGAAACCATAGCTCTAACTGGTATTTAAGAGAAGAAAAAGCAACAATTTTCATGCCCTACAATTGTGCATTTACCACACATTCCCTCAGGTCCAACAGAAATCTACTGCTTCATTGCTGCTTTGGTCTTTTATGCATTCCTGTAAAATAAGGAAAAGTAAGGTTGCCACACTCAAAGCTATGCTTGCCCTTCTGCAATGATGGTGTAAACAGAGGCCCAAAGAAAGAGAGGTTCCCACTCACTCCCACTGTTCCACGTGGGTTTGAGTAACACTGCTCCTCAGGGTGACATCCTCCTCCTTTTGAGTTGAGGGTGCTCCGACTCTTGCCACAGGAGAAAGAATGAGAGCAGTTACTGCATAACTGAAAGCAAATTACTCCAGTTACTAACCTAAGTTCTCTCTGCCTCCCGTTACTCTTGGTACACTGCATTTGTTCTCAGGAATCATTACATCTGCCACTTCAGAAAATGCCCAGAAAACAGACCTTTCCTTTCCAGCAGTGAGTGCAGAGCACTGGCCCATGGCAAGCTGGCAGCTCTGCAGTGGTCCAGACACACCTGTGCTGAAGCATCAGCAATTGATGCCTACTGAAAATGGAACCTTTTCAGACACAGCTCCCTGGAAATCCCATGTATTTACAGTTTCACAGTGCCTAGTACCAGCAGTTTAGCAATATCTGTGACCTTTAAGTGTTAAACATGAAAACAAGTTGTGGTCTTTGTGCTTTGTTAGCACTCTTTAAAGCATGAAAAACTCACACCTAACATCACCCACACCATTTTATTAACAGGAAGGCTCTAGGACATGAGGCAGTGGTCTAGGAAGAGACAGAAAAACCCTGGGGTATACTGTTCATAGACGAAAAGTTTAAACCAAAAACACTTATTTGACTGAAATGCTCCGAAGAATGACATTTATGGTTGCTGTGTGGCATTTTTTTGGTTTGCTGGGGAATTTTGGGGTTTTTTTGGTTTGTTTTTTTGTATGCATGTGTGTTATTAGTTTTCTTCTTTTTCTTTTAAATCTTGCAGAACACTGAAAACCAACACATGGAAGTTCCACTCCTTTGAAGAGAGGCCACTGAGAGTTAATTCTTTTTACATTTAAACACAAAACAGCTTTCTAATTTTATATAATCAAGAAATGGAAAACAATTTTTATTAACATGTCTTACATTTACAATCTTTTATTAGCTAATCAACATCAACATGCAAAAATAAGCGCTAAATACAAACCTCTACAATATGGTTTTGTTTAAACTACAATGGTTTAATTCTTTTGAAAAGTCATAAGGATGTGTTCTGCAGTTGTTAAAATTGAACTATTAGTTTCAGTAATGAATACTATTTAGACCCTAAAATTATGTAATCATCCTGCAAGGCATCTTCAGAAACTTCGCCCAACACTTAAGAATACCAGCTCATTGTCATGTGAGTACATTCTCAAAGCAAGAAATAAGGCAGTAGCACTAATGATTTCATATTGAACCTTATGCACATAACTAATAACTTTAGAAGGACTTTAACACTATGGTAGACTGGAAAAAGAACATTTAAACAAGCATTGGATTTTGCCTGAAATGTTCTCTGTTCTTCTTGATACTTATGCAACCTCCTTAAAATATTTGGGTTTGGAAAAAGACTTCATACTCCTTGAAACAGTCCCTACTTGATCCTCCAGAGAAGCCACCTTGTGTCAAAGACATCAAAAATATCTTCCCATGGAAATAAGTTACATCATTCATGTTCAGGATTACTTCACCAGAGGATCATAAAGAAGGCAAAGAGGAGCTTAAAGGAGAACACGTTGGTAGTACTGAGATCTTTGATAACAAAAGGGTCTTGGACAATTGTGAAAAAGAGGGAAGAAAAATGGATTTAATTTCAAATCTGTTGTAACTTTTCCCCCAGTGCAAGTGTCCATCTTTAAAGAAAGCTATCCTTTAGAAGATGAAAGTACTTTTCTTTGAGAAGAGTCCAATTTTTGACCTTATGTTACAAAACCTTAACAATCAAAATTTGTTTTTGTGGTTTTTATTCAAGTACAAACTTAAGTCATAATTGTTTTTTTTTTTTTTTTTTTTTTTTTTTTTTTTTTTTTTTTTTNTTTTTTTTTTTTTTTTTTTTCTTTTTCTTTTTTTCCTTTCAAGAGTGTTTATTGTTGCTCATTGATCTTTGGTCGCAAGAAACAATAATGCCACCGACAGGTCTGCTCCCCAAGGTGGCAGCTTTTGCTTCTTCGCCACACATTAAGGCCCCCCCCTTTACGGGGTATGCCAAGATACACCGTGTCAAAATTCCAGCGGCACTTCGTGTGTTTTACAGACCTACATGATGTAGACTTTCTCAGCTTGTGAGAAGTTGAAGACTTCTTTGGTTCTTGGGCAAATTACTTTGTCATCTTGACGAATAGAAAGCAGAGACTGAAAAAGAGTGGAACCGAAAGATAATATTCACAACAGTTATTCAAAGCAATATTGAACTGTTTAGGAAATGAACTTTTAATCTAAAAAATGTTGTGGTCTGAGGTCAAAACATCTTTGCCCCCAGCAGTTACTTATTCTGCATTATTGCTCTCTGGAGGGAAAGATTTCCAATGCCATTTGATCTCGCGTTAGAAATTCACATAGTTAGGTATGTGACCATTAATATGTCTTCATTAAGACCAATTTAAGCAGCTAAATATACAGTCCTTAAAAAAACATTCCTGCAAGAATTATTCCTCTAGCTTCTGAGTGAGTTGATAAGGTTTTATTTTGATCCAGCAAGTTACTGTAACAGCTGCTATTTTAGCCTTCAGCAAGTCATTGACCCCAACACTTACATTGTATCCATAGACATATCCATTTGGTAACATCATAGGAGGATTATTTTCGTTCATTACATCCCCCGAAATCTTGCAGACTAGTCGGGAGTTGGCACAATGTGCCATCGGCAGGGGCTGAGCCAGCTTGTTCAGGGATTTGCTACACACAGGGCAGTCGGGGTTTTTTGAGCTCCCATCCTCTTTATAACACTGTCTGTTAACAGCAAGTTAGGGAACAATCACCACAATGAAACCATAATTAGCTTCCCATTGTACGGGAAACCTTAAAATTAAAAGATTGTCAGCTGTGCCAACAGAGCCCAGGTGACAGAATGCACAGGAACATTTAATTCAAGTTTAATGTCCACACAAAAGAATCAAAAGTTTGCTCTGCTTCAAGAAACAGGAGTGAGCAAAATGTGTGTCTGGCACAAGTAAAACTTCTGAGATGCAGCACCAGCCCTTCCCCAGCACAACAAACCCAGCGAAGTTTCAAAAGATGCAGCTATTTTGAATATTCACATAAAACCTGGCAGGTAAATTTGTGTTTAAATGCTTGAAAACCTGTAACTGTAACCAGCTCACTAACCCTTGCAGGCATATTCACTAATTTCAGACATGAAAAGACAGCCAAACCAAACACAATGTTACATTTTACCATAAAATTTTTGTTTGCGCATGCCTTTTTTTTTAAACCATAATGCTATTTACTATAATCTCCCAATAATTTAACAGTGACCAATTTATACCCCATTTGAACAATTCATGAGCAAAAATATTGAAATGTCACATTTCTTATTTGAGCTCTCCGAAGAGCCTCCATAAACCAAAAATAAACCCCCACATGGCTTTTTATTTCACTCCCAGTAATATCTGCTTTAAAGGATACGGTGTTTTTATAGCTGAAAGGCCTGCCTGGAGTGTTATAGTAAAAACAGAATTGTTTCCCAGCTGATGTAGTCTGTAGTTATCATATCTAAACTGTTGGATCAGCATTCTCCATCGAGCAGGGTCCAAAAGATCCTGTTAAAAAACAACACAACTATAAGTTGCTTTCAATCTAATTGTCCCAGGGAGCAAAAGCCTGGGAGTGACAAATTGTGCAAAACTCACTTGTGCAAACCCATCACAAACCAGAAGTGGACACCCCAATGCATAGTGTTTAAAAAGCACCTTTTAACACTGCTTTATTAAAACAAGTATTATTTAAAATAGCTGAAGCAATCAATATTCAATTTCCATCATCTACCAAATGTTCTAATCAAGGTATGTAAGTCCTGGTGAGGTTACTTCTTCCATTTGGTTTCCTAGAATGCTGGACTACATAGGAAACAACATTGGTACTGTGAAATGTTTCTTCTACAGCCTCTGAACAATTAACACCAAAAAGTCAGAAGTGTTTTTTTACTTAATAATTAATTGCAATACATAATATTTACAGAATTTTGTAAAAAGATTTCAATTTGAAAAAGCTGCCACAAGCCCAGCTTAGAGAAAGCTTGCACAAGCTACTCTTTTAGAGACAAAATTCTTTAATGCTGTGTGTTACCTAAAAGTCAGGATTTTTCTTTTCATGGAAATAAGAACTAAACCCAGAGGTCAAGGATACATTGAGCTTTAAAAGCAATGCTGTTGAGTCATGTAAGAAGGAAAGACCCTTTGAAAATATATTTAGTGTCATCTATACAGGCAGACACCTAATCCTTTCTTTCTTATCTTCTGTATCCATAACCTGCACTTTGGTCAGGAGGAGTGACAATGTTTCTTTACCTTTATATAATATTTATCATATAGATACTCTACTGATCATTTTGTCAACTCCACAAGCTACACTTTGAGGGAACTAGGAGAAACAATCTGGGGACACCTCACAGCACCTTTCAGCAGCGAAAGGTGCTACATGTGATCTGGAAAGGGACTTGTGACAAAGCCATGGAGTGACAGGACAAAGGGAATGGCTTCAAACAGAAAGAAAGCAGGGTTAGACTGGACATTAGCAAGAAGTTTTTTACTGTTAGGGTGGTCAGACACTGGACCAGGCTGCCAGAGGCTGTGGATGTCCCATCTGTAGAACTCTGCACTGCTGAGGCCACACCTCAAGTCCTGTGTTCAGTTTTGGGCACCTCAGAAGGACACTGAGGTGCTGAAGTGGCTCCAGAGAAGGACACAGAGCTGGGGAAGGGTCTGGAGCACAAGTCTGATGAGGAGCAGCTGAGGGAGCTGGGGGTGTTTAGCCTGGAGAAAACCATGAGGACAGGGCAGATGTGGTTCTGGGTTGATGGCTGGACTGGATGATCTCAGAGACCTTTTCCAACCTTTACAATTCAATGATTCTGCTGTTGGGACCAGCTTGGATTGGGCTCCAAGAAATCTGGTCTAGTGGAAGGCAAAGTGACATAAGATTGTTCAATAGATATCAAAGAAAACAGCCTATGCTGCCACAACAGTGAATGTTTTCCTTAAGGTCCTGAAAGAGGAAAAGTCAGAGAAAGTTCTATTCATTGGTTATAGAATATGCTTCTTTCCTTGGATTAATAAAAATCAGTTGGTTAGAGATATGATCTCACAAACCTTGTCACAGATTTAAAAAGAATTTACTTAAAGGCATTTTAGGAAGCCATTTATGCACAGAACTCATAGTCAAGATAGTAAAGGTAACTCCAAACAACAGAGTACTGTAATAGTGTTGAACTAGGTAATTATTAGAGAATTCAAAACTTAACTTCCATAAACTAGAATGTTTTAATTAATATCCATAAGTACTAGGGAATTTGTTCTCATTGTATGGTTGTATGTGGAAGAATCCTTCCTTCTCCTTGTTCTCCTTCATTGAAACACTCCATCCAAACCAGTCCTTAGAACACAGGATTTTTATTTCCTACCTATTTCTTTCTAACTACTAAAATATTGATAAATTCTATCTTACACTCAAGTCTTCTAACACATCTATATTCATAACTTATATCAAATCTAGCATGTAAAATACCAGGATCCTTCCAGGACTCTGGGATGAGCAAAGAAATTCATATTGATTCTGTGGGTTTTTCGTTTCAGGGCTTTTCTTTGTGGTTGTTTTGTTAAACCACAGTTTCATCATCATGTTTAGAAAACGTGTTTATACTGGCACTGCCACACATTGGCTTGGCATTTCATGGAATTCTTGTCTTGCTTTGACAACTCAGCTCTTCTCTACCTTCTGCCTCCAAAGCCAAGTTAAAAAGAAGTGAATTAGCACATAACCACAGAACTCAAGTCTATAGAAACAGTAGCTATCTATGAATTTTGCTTCATTTAAATTTAGATGTAGATATTACCACTAATAGCTGCATTATTTTGCATAATCCAAATAAATGAAAATTTATTTTAAGGAACAAAAATACTACTTTCACATCATTCAAATCATCCTTCCTTTCTTCATCCCAATCACTGCAACAACAGTAATGTGAGAGGTAGAATTAAGAAATGCTGTTGGTGTATTAAAGCCACAGTTTCGTATGTTGAACAAGGCTCTCTCTTTTTTTTTTTTTGTCCCTTTGTACTTCCCCATCTTCTGCCTCTTGCTGTATATTCAATTATCAGCCCCACAGATCTCTAATGCTGGCTTTATGGTAAGCCTAGCTCAGCGTGAATCCATATTATTATTACAATCCAACTGAAACAATACAAATACTTTCTGGATTAATGTACAAGGACAGGTTACTAAAATTAAGAACTCTTACAAAGGTGGAATTTAGGAAATAAAATTTAAAAAAAAACTTATCTTGATATTATCAATGCATTTTCCTGTGCTGCAAAAAAGAACTGAAACATCTTGATATTATCAATGCATTTTCCTGTGCTGCAAAAAAGAACTGAAACATCTGTTTTAATATTGTGTTGTAACACTGAATTTCCATGTTACCTTATAGGGAGAGATATGAGTGTCTGAGGGAAAGGCCAACATTCCCATCACCTGTCGAACCTCATCCAGCTGGCTTCCCTCAGCCTGACTGAAGTGCTTTCTTGCATGTCTGAAATAGAGAATCAATCCTTTATTACACAGCCTTGCTTCCTAATCAAGGAAATTCACTTAATCATGGAAGATTTCAGAGAAAACCTATAGATTCTGATCTCAATACATGAACTCCAACAGGCTCTATGTACATTTAAAGGACTTGAAAAAACACATCCTACAAAGGGGAATGCAAGAATGACTAAGAATTAGTATTGTTACACTGTAATTTCTCAGAAATCTTTTTACTGTAGTGTGAAGTATTGCCTCACCTAGAACTAAAACCACCATGATTATTAGAAGAAATGTCTCTGCTCATGCAGGCTCAGTGTATGACACTCATCTGGCACACACTGACAAGTGAGATAAAGGCAGTCTGAAAATCAGCTATTCCAGACCCCTTACACATCAAGAGTGCTCAAATTATCTGCCTTGTCTATACTGACAACTGGGACAATGTTTATTTTGAATGAATGATTTTTTGGGGGCAGGAGTGTAGGGTAGAAAACAATATCACTTTCTGTGCAGACTACAAGAAATTGTAGGGCAATGTAATAGAAAATACTTTGTTAAAAGCACTTTTTTTTAGCCAGGAAAAAAAATGAATTAGAGCTTCAGTATAAATTTTTGTGCTTTAACACATACAGATTGTAAAGGATAAACACATGGCTGAAAGCTTGGATATCTGAAATAAGTTACAGAAGTACCAGAAACATATTTAAATAAAAAATACAAACTTTAATATTTTTCAGGAAAGAGTAAAAAACCACAAAATTATTACCAGATTATGAGGATATCCAACTACTTCAAAACCCTAAATTAAAATTTCCCCAGTCTAGTGTTCCCAAGATTGGTAATTCTCAAGTTGGAGTGTAAGTGTGCAGGAAGACCCTTCATCCTTTAAACTGGACGATTTGCTCAGCGGTTCTGCTAAAGCTCCTGTTTTCAGTGGTGCACAGATGTAGCACAGCAGGCTGGCTATGGAACCAGCATTATACTCAACTTCTGGCATTGCATAAGGGTAGGAAAATTTTCCCTATGCTGTGACTTCTGCACAGTTTGCATTACAGGAAAGATACCGAGTCATCTCATCTTAGTCCTCCACTAAGAGTTTGCTCTTTTTTAACTTTTGAAGAATTTTAAAAATAATTCCTAAATTACTTCTGGGAATAGACAGTATTTCAAAATGCCAATTTCATGGCCTGAATAAGAAAACCTTGGCAAGTTTTGTTTTTTTTTTTTTTCCCCAATTCTGAATTTGACAACTACACTGAGGTCATCAATACCATGAGAACAGTCTCCTTAGCAGTATTTCAGTACTCCCACTTCCTCTCCCACCCAAGCCAGGAAGCAATGGAAGTTATGTAGGACAGAATGTTTCCACCCAATTTCCTATGCTGGGTGAGCAATTCAGGAACGTAAACATTGTTCCCCAGGTGATAACTGTTATGAGGACAGAAGCACAAACCCCCTGGCCTGAGAGAAGAGACAGCCTGGACACACTGGAAGAATGCTGAAATAACTGTGGAGAGCTGCAGATGAAATTGAGAGCTTTTGCAAACTCAGATTAGACAAACCGAAAACTTCAGATCTACCAGCTGAGATTATCTGTGCATGCATGAGAGAAAAAAGGGGAAAAAAAATCTTCTCACAAGAACTGATCAGAGTACAGTTGTGTTCTGTGATGGTAAAACTGAAGTCACACTTCAGTTTTCACAGCCTGGTTAGGGTTGAGGTTCTCCTCCCTGCCAGGGCATCAGCCTTCCATCACATGCTCACATGCAAAGTACTGAACACACTGGGATGTGGTGGCTGGATTTGGTTCAGCCAGAATGAGTCAGGTTTTCCAAAGTGACCTTGTGTTAGTCTTAATCTCCTGACTTTCCCTCTCTCCTGTGTTCTTTAAAAAATAAAAACAAACCTAAGAAAGTTTCCCACAAGGTCTGCGCGCTATTGCTGAACTCCATCCACTGAGAAATTAAAATGGAGCAAGGTATCTTTCAAAGGTGAAGCAAATTCATTAATTCATAGCACTCAAGTCTTTTTCAGATTGGGAAGCAAGACACAACACTGTAAATTACTTGGGAATACACAACGGTGGAATTACACCTTATTTGCCCTCATGCCATTATTCACCCCATTCCTTGCCACTCAGCCATTTCCATCTCTGTGCAAGTGCTGGTTTGCTCCTGAGATCTAGGTGAACATTACAATGCTTAATTGCAATGTTTTTACCACCATTAGCACATATAGCTAAGGCAGGGAGCTAAACTTTTCAGGAAAATGTTTAAAATCCTGACAACAGACCATCCCTGAAGCCACTAAATTCTTGTAACAGATCTAAGTAAAAGGTAGAAAATTTTGTTTTTCAAATCCCAGAATGATCCTGTAAACTCTGCAAGGACAAAGTTCATCATCTTTTGTGTGTCCCTCCAGCCCACACAGGTACAGCTGACATATTGTACTTGGCAAATATTTACAAAGACTTGAAAACCTACAGTTCACTGAGGGTACACTCAACTGTTACAGAAGGATCCACATATGCAATGTCCAGCTTATATGTCTACATATGCCTGAATATAAAAATGAACATTTTTATTGGGCAGTAGCAATAACTGAACACAAATATAAGGTGTTATCAAGAAAGGACTTGTTTCTACTCAGTTTTTTGGCCAATGCCTTAATGCCTTTATCTTGGATCCTTATGACAATCAGCAGAATTTACAATCAAAGTTCTCAAAAGTATATTTATACTCCTGTTCAACTGCACCCCCACTAAAAAAATAAAGTGTTCATTCATCCTTGTAGGAGGGAAGTTGACTAAAATGATAGACTGTAGCCATTTTCTCCTCCTAACTTTGCCCACCATCAGCTATTATTTACTCCTTTTTGTCCTCTGTATTCCCAGAGTAAGAAGTGTGCATGATGTTTTGTTAAGCTTTTAGCTGAGAACTTTGCATATCTATGTCATTGTGTAAGAGCAAAATATCAAAATGCTGTCAGATTTCCCAGAATGAAATTAGTGAGAGCTCTGAAAGTGTGAAATTGGTGTCATCAGTCATTCATTGTTACTTTAGTAGGTACAAATCTGACAAAAAAGCCCTAGAGACTGAGAGTTAAAGGCTAATGACACTAGGCAAAAAAACTTTGTGTTATATTTAAGGTTAAGAGATTTACTCTTTCTATTTAAGAACAGTTTTTTACATTCTTGAAACTTGCACTTTCAAGGCTACTCTGATACGGTACCTTAGAGGAAAGTCTGTTTGTACTCATTCTAAAAAGCTACACAAATTCAAACACTTATTTAATAAGATGTATAATTTTAAAGTTCACATCAATTTTAATGTAAAAGCAATGTCACTTTAGAAGTTCTCAGCAGGCAGCAAAACCTTTCAAACTTATTTAAACACCAGCTGCAATTCAACAAAATATCAGTTCCCCGAGTTCCACTCGTACAGGAAACTCCTGGGTAAACAGCCTCTTTCTCTGCTTTCTAATGGATGCCTGACCTATTTATTGCACCACAGACACAATAGTGAAAGAATCCTGCTGCAGGCACTTAACAGAAGCAAGCTAATAAAACCACAAGTTGCAAGGGTTTGCTAGAAGCAATGAGATTTATGCCACACCTCCCCAAAGGTATCCCTCATTCATTACTTATTTACTTTGAAACAAAGTAGAATGTCATGGCAAAACACTTACAGTTTTTAAGCCACAATACTGAAAGGAAGTATTGACATGCTGGAGTCTGAATGTGCAAAATAATCAAAACTCATCCTCCTAGAAAGGAGTCAATTAAGATACAGAAAGACTTCCACAGCTCCTTTTCCTTTTAAAGTTGGTTATGAAGTTAAATCAGCACTGCCATGAGTGGCAACTGATAATTGCCAGGTATAAAATGTATGTCAACCCTGAATTTCAGCAGGTATATGGAATATACACACTTCACCCCAACAGCACTCAATATGGATGCCTTGTTTGCCATACAGACAGGAGCTTTAAGTTGTAAACCTCAGACAGGTTATTCCACACAGCATGCTGTGTCCTCTTGAGGACTGTCAGCTTGCAAATTTTACCACTTCTGATGTAGAAAAGGGATGAGAGGGAAACAAATATCCAGTAACAATAAAATACAGAAGGACCTTAATCTGCTTTGTCCCAGTTCTCAGCCTATTTCCTTATTCCAGCTCTGTGCCTGCCCTCTGGTTTCCAAGCTACATAAGGAAGCTGTAGCTCAAAGAAAATAGTTTTTAGAGCATGGACTACTCATTGTTAAGATGCATGACTGCATACTTGGCAAAGAAACAAACTGAGAATAAAGCTAAAGGCACAGTATTCATTTGGTATAAAGAGCACCATGGGCTTCAGAAGACAGATAATGGAGCTGAGTCTCTTTCATCCTTTTCTTAAGTACTTGACAATTCCTTAGGATTTGATAATTCTATCAAAGGGTAAGTGCACATATCTAAATGCTAGCTTGTAGATTTTGTATTTAATTATGTTTGGTTTTAATTATTAACATTAAAATTAGCTGGAGTTTATCAGACTGCACATTTGCATTGGCTGGGACCAGAGCAAAGATGATTTAAGTGCAAGTAGGGCAAAGTAGGAATGATATTAGCTCAAAGCAAGCCATGCATCGAATGAAATTAGAAATAAAACCTGAAAATAACCCTAAAACTTTGCCCTGCAGGAGAGCTTCTCCATCTAGATTTGGGAAAATGCTAGAATGTTTTCAGTCTGTGAATACATTATGATAGTTTTCTGTACCTCTGTGCTGCTCAGAGCAAAAAATCAGCTCTGCCACAAATACAAGTTTCAGTTTCTGAAGTACCTAGTTTGGGTTTAAAGGCAGCAGAACTTGCAACTTCCTTGACACAGAAATATTACATGGCAACAATCTTCTTATCAGGATGTATCAGCAAAGCTTTAGGTTGGGCCATGAACTTCTCCCCTCTCTTCAGGTTTAAAATATTCTTACAAAACAGAAGCTGCTGAGGATTCTCCTTCCCTTGTGCACATGTAAGCTCCAGCAGGCTCTGCCACCTGCACTGTACTTTGGTGATGGCAAGGTCATTGCTTATCAAATTACCAATGCATTTCTCTGTCAAGGTATCAAAATTCTACTTATTTCAGCAAGACTAGTTTCCTGTGTTATCCTGACCATTATTCCACCTTAAATCAGGACCATTAACTTGGATGTATAAATTGCTTCATGTGCTGGTACTGAAAGTATTGTCAGAAAAACTCTCTTGTGGTTAAGTCAGAGAGCGCTGAGGTGTGACTGCACTCCTGTCACTGATTCACAGCCCCACTGGGCATTGTTGCTTTCTCTCTGTAGTCCCCACTGAACTACTTCAGAACAGGTAAAAATGGATATTGAGTTGGTTTCCTCATTTGGAGCCAGAAGAATGAAGTGAGGAAAACCTAACACAGATCATCCCTCTCCCACCCTCTCCCATTTTATAAGATGTATAAAATTATACATCTTATTAAATACAGAACTCTAAATTAGGCATCAGTACAGGGGCCAAACATGGCCTTGCAGGTAACTTGCAGAACAAAAAGTTTAATGAAGATAGCAAAGGAGAATCAGTCAAAATTGAAATGTTAAAGCTTTAGATGAAAGTTTCATTAACCTTTTAGTATTTCTGGTGATTAAAACTGTAATGAATTGCCATGAGAAGCTGGCTGTACCTCCTAAAAATTAGTTAAGGGTGAATATATATTTATATTTTACACTATATGCCACCAGAAAATCAATTTGATTTTTAAAACAGGTTAATTTTCTAAACCTTGATTTTGAAGAATAAGAAGACACAGTTTCACGGACAACATCAAGTCTTAAAGAAGATGCATCTGTGGAATGGCACTTTGCCTTTAAAAAAAGTCCAAGCCCAGCTTAAATCCAAAGACTGATGACAATACCAGGCAAGACCCTTCAAAGCTTTACAGGGCTTCTGGGTGTTGCAACAATAACCACACATTTCTACATAATACCATCTTGTTAAGAAAACTGATTGGAAAGCATCCTAATTTCATACCTCACAGCATCCAGTCTCTTGTTCTGTCGAATGAGTTCAATGAACTCCTGAATCCTTAGGCTGAACTCCAGACAGCTCTGAGATTAAAGACAAGACAGGGTCTTAGATGGTGCCAAAGTTGCACCCCATGGTTTGTTAACAACTACGTGTGCACAACAAAAAAGAAGTGTTAATAACATGCAACCTGGTTTGCTTGCTTTTAGGCATTCATGCAAAAAAAGTTGAAATGCTGACTCTACAGACAAGATCAGCACAGAATTCCCTAAAAGCAAACAAAATCCTCCTCCTCCTCCTCTTGCCTCCTTTAAAACTTCGGCAGGGATGAACCTTTTCCTAATGACTGAAAGCCTTGTTACCTGAGACACAGAGAGGAATAGGTGGTTTCCTTCTACTTTCTTATAATTTAAAGTAGTAGAGTCAGCAGGAGTTTGGGGCTATGTGATAATTTAGACAGATCTACCCAGAAGACTTCAAGGAAGAAACAAGCCTTTGAATGAATTTTGAAAAACCCCAATATTAACAAAAATTAGCACAACGTTTAAGTTGCTGCAATACCCTCCCCTCCCTTCCTTCAAGCTTCTATCCCACTCCTCTTGTCAAACATCTAAAAGCCATGCTGGAAACAAGTCTCAAACAAGAAAACCAAGTGGCATTTACCTGTTTATGGAAAAAGGTAAAATTTGAAGCCTAACGAAGTTGAGAGTGTCCCTTTAAATCAAATTCCATCACCAGTTCACAAAATCTATAAAAAAACTTTGAATATGTGGAATTAAAAAGAAAAATATGTCCCCCCATAAAAAAACAAATCCTTATGCTTCTTTATAGGGACACAGTCAACTGTTTTATTACCTTATTAATAATGAAATCCCAAAGTGCTCTGAATCCTGTAAAGAACTCTATTCCCTGTGTTTCTCTATGCCACTTGCCGAGTGTTTTTTCTTCAACCATGTCTCTAATGAATAGTTGCCTTTTGTTTATTGTCCATCAGCACAGTCATATCAAAATTCCTCAGTGACTTCAGTAGGAATTTGAGCAACTCTGAATTTCTCTAAGTTAGCTGCCTGGTGTGACTAATGCATGCATTGCAACAACTGCTTATTTAAGACTTAAAACATAAGGCATTTGAACATAAAAATGATGCATTCTTTCATGTTAAAACTAACTTGTTTAAGGAACAGAAAAAATTATCTTCCAAATATGCATTGTTCTGTATTCAAGCCCAGATTTAACAGAAAATAAAACTTTCTCCCCTTGAGATTTTCAATAGGACTATTTTAAAATACCTTGTTTAACCAAATCTACACAAGCCCTTCATCTAGAATTTTAAATAAGCCTGTTTCTACTAAAAATCTGAACAAGCTTTTTAATTGTTAATGATACTAAGTCCCAGGGCTTCCTCTTTTGCTGGGATATTTCCATAGCAAATGTCCTCTTTTGCTGGGATGTTTCCATAGCAAAACTCACATGTCAAGCAAATGAATTTTTAAGTAAGGTGCAGGCCAATGGCCCCAGGGGTTCTGCAGACAAATGTAACTAGAAGCAGAGAGCCCTAGACAATCAGATGATGCACATTCCAACTCTGTGTACTTCAAATAATCCCACAGCAGCCCTTCACAAGATTTCAGATTGCTCACACCTGAAAAGATTGCATGACTGCTTTCCAGGCCACCAAACAGTATAGATTTTAGATAAGGCTTGCATTCAGGTAGGTGGTGGCTATGATTTTAGAACATTAACAGTGATGAGTAGCTAAGCAACTAGAAGTAGAAGAAATGTTTGCTTTTCAAAAAGAAGCACAGTAATTTCTCATCTTCCAACTCTGATCTCTCACAGCCTTAACTTTGGTTTTTGTTTGATTAAAAAAGAAACAAAAAAAGATAACAAAAAAAGCATAAGGCTTGCAGAAATAGATTTTTGTTGTAGTTTTGTTTTTCAAAAAGAGGATGGAGAAGAGTCTTCCTTATTTACTGCTTGCTGAAAATTGGTGATGAACGCAAGATGTTCAGATTATATTTCTTGTATTACTTAACATTTTAAGATTTCACAAGGAGGAATTTTTAGCAGTATAATTATGCAATGTGGTTTACACACCAATTCTGGTTTTCCTTTAATGGTTTCCATAACAAAGTCATAATTTTTTCTAGAGTAATGACTGGCTGATTGACTTTTGCATCCCATCTTTGGCACATTGTCAGTTTGGTGCCCCTGAGTGACAGAGAACGTCACTCTCTGCTTATTGTTAAGTGCACTCACACATTTCTGGTTAAAGAAATCACTTAGTTTAAAAAAATAAGATAAAAACTTCTTTAAGGGAGGCAGGGATTTTGGTTAATATCAGTTAAAAACAGATTTCTGCAAGCCCTATAAAAGATTACAGCACGTTTTGAAATGCATAATTTAAGAGACAAGGAAATTTAAATGGAATGCATAACAACAAGTACACAGCGTGTTCAGCTCATGGTACTTGATGGCTTGAGGAAGACTTTTTGTGTTTATTGCTTGAATAGATTCCAGCTTTTGTTTTCGTATTTTCTCCAAGCAAGTTAATTCTTTACTCTAAAGTTCTGTCTTCTTATATTCAAGAGTTAAAAATTACTAAGACTAAAATCTGCATGAAATTTCTTTCAGAAATTTTAAACCTGAGGGCAGAGATTAGCAATTAATTTCATTCTTTAGACACCTTCACGTATAAATTAAAGTCTCACCAAGATGCACGGAGTTATAAATTTAACTTTACATGCATCAAGACACTACATATTTCTGCATTTATTTGTTTTCAAATTACACTAAACCCAACTGAGTATTGTATTTTATTTGAGCATAATTTGTTGAGACAACACTGAATCCAGAAGATGACCTACCACTCACTTCCAGGTCTGGCATTTGTGAGCCTGTTTAGCTCCAACTACCTATGCCTTTTAAGAACATTTTTATACTTACTGTCCTTACTTTTATACAAGACCTTTTTCAAGACCTGTAATTTAAAACATATTAACCACATCCAGCATCCAAGTAGTGTACACAAAAGATTAAGCAAAATGTGAACATGTTACATTTGCATACCTTCATTTTTCTGAGTCTGGATTTGTTGTCATGACACCAAGCCAAGCAAGTCATAGTCTCTTGTCTTTCCAATGACTCTTCCACTTCTTTAGCAGTCAAAAACATCTCAATATTTACCAAATCCTTCACAAGACAAAAAAGGAAGGAAGGTGTTGTTAAATTTTACTCATACTTTACACAGCAATTCTTCAAATTAGCTGGAATACAGAGATACAAAAGACTTTGTTCTCAAGACTTCTAGATTTTGGAATTGTACTTTGCAAAAAGACATTACAGGATATTTCCATGGACTGGAATGTTCTGATAGTGACAACAGTTCTGAGTCTAGTTACATAACAGAACTAGAATTAAAAAAAAAAAGAAAACTATTAAAGATTACACCTAGAGTCTTGCAGACTTTACATAATTTACATGCTTAATATCACAAATATTACCATAGCTCTAGTGAACAAAATCACGCTCAGAAATAGATGGCAATTTCATCTGTCAGAACAGCTAAATATACTTAGTCTTAGAAGTTCTACCTTCCAAGAGAAAAAGCTGAAAATCAGAATGAGCATCAGCTATATATCACATTCACATCTGGCATTTCATAAGCCTTAGAAATACAGCTTTTCCTTACTAATACAGGAAGTCTAATGCTATTGGGAAAGTAAACTAAATCATGTTAGGGTTATCAGTATGGTTATTTACAGAAATTTAAACAAGCCACATGTATTTCTGAAGTGCAGCAGAACTTGCAGATTTTACTAAATCTTCCTCTCATTACCTGAATTTTAAAACCAAAACATTAACATTTATTTTATAGGTTGTATGACCAACAAAACCATTTACCATCAAAAGAATAAAGGGCCTCCCACAGTTCTACTGGTATCAAATCCAGGTAAGTCAGACTGAGCTCAGAATTCAGACAGCTACAAGTTTACAGAACAACACTGAGATTGGATTTTAATGGACTCTTCCCATATCTTTAGGGTTAAAAAACCCCCTCTATTTTATCAATGTGTTGGCAAATGGACTGAAAGAATGTCAACCTGTTTCACAACAGTATTTTTAAAGTATTCCTACAAGAACATGAGAATAAATCTTTTGCCTGGTCTGAGGTTTTCCTGATGATATGCTCAAGTTGAAGGAAAGTGCATTACTCCCCTGTGCTTGATAAGGTGACCATATAAAAACCTCTTGTCCATTAACTCATCTGTGTAAGCAGCTTGACACATAATGCAGTCATATTAATTATCTTGCTTACATTCCATACAGCTGCTGAGTGGAAAGATAGTTCCATTTAAGTTACAAACAATATCATCTCCATACATCTCAAACTTATTTGAGCTATGTGCCCTCAGCATTCGCTTTTACACCAAATTACAACAAAAGCATTTGCTTCTACATCAAAAAAGGGCTGGATCTGCTAATCAGAACCAAATCACTGGTTTATTCTCATTTGTTAGCTTTTTATAGTTTAAGCTTAATAAAAAAAAAAAAGAAGCATAAGGGCGGCATTTGAGAAGTCCATGAGCTGGTGAGAGATTCCCAGCTATCTGTATTTATCAATCAGGTGTTGGTATAGCAGCCCTCTACTATGAACAAAAAGACAGCAATTGCTTCTGAGGCAGACAAAACTCTCAAATAAAAAGAGAATTTCTACACTGCGTTTGAAAATTTAAAATGAAAAGGTTCTATATAACAGAAATGCTAATTAGATTCCCGGCTGCCAAAAGAAGTCAAAGCTTGGCAGCCTTCTCTATTAAATAGACAGTATGTATCCAGAAAACAGAGGAGAACATTTTAAATTAAAAGAGTTTCTTTCAGAACCAACAATTACATTTAAATTGCACCAATAAATAGGATTTTCTTCTCTGTTGACTTGATAGAAAGTTAAGGAACAATATAAAAAAGGCATTAAGAAATCCTTTTGTAGAGGCAGGAATAGCTTTTGCATTTGATTAGAAATAGAAGTCTTAATCATGCAGACTGATTACTACAAAAATACTAAGACACAATTAAGGAATAAACCTTTAGAAACTCCACATGCCACACAGGTTTGATTTTTTAATCCAATCATACTTTCCTATCTTTTCTGGTGGTGCCTGATCTTGGTGCTTCTTCCTTAGCTAGGACTAAGGAAACAGAAGAAAGGAGTATCAGAGAAATTATCAAAACTAGCACAGCTCTTCTACACAGGCAGTCGGGAGTACAGCTTGGCTACCTCATCTTGGATGGACAGGAACCAGTTTAGCATTTGTAACAAGTTTCTCATGTTCCAGTCAAAAAAAAATTAAGACTCCAGTCCTGAATCGCTTTCTGAAAGTATTCTGCAATTCCGAGTTGTACAGGCTGCAGACAATACAGAAACATTGTCTTTCTCAGCTCCCAAAACAGGATTAAGATCTCACAGGCTGCTACAAAGTGCCTCTCTTATATAATTTACATATAAAATTGAGTAAATGTAAATACACAATTTTAGAGAAATACTGCCACTTGATTTTGCAGGTGCAGAGAAAGCAGAAGCAAGAAATCTGTTGCCACACACTCCCCCTTGAAATGACACAGTATTCAGCACCATGGCAAATGTTTTCTGACTTGTATATAAACTAAGAAGGAATTCTAAACTCTTTAATCACCCTCTTTACAACAGTAATGTCACCCTTCATTTCACACTTTCAGGGCTGCAATACTTTCCTGCCAATACTGCAGAACTAAAGAAAACCCTACCCCACACACAGATTATTTCAGTGCTGGGATCAAACCATAACTCTTAGCACAGACTTTCCAGCTTCCAGTGTCCTGTCATACCTTTGCCTATATCACTTGATTACAAATACACAATACCTGAGATTGGGCAGGAAGATTGAGTTACATGAAACTTACATTTAATTCTACAACTGTACTGCAAAATAGTCTCAAATGTCTCAAGGAGGAGAACTCGCTCCATTAAGTATTAGCAGCAATTATCCAAACACGCAAGTGGGGAGCAAAGTACAAACCAGGGAGTATCACCTGAATTTTATGATTTCTGCTTTAAAAAACAGTATTGGACTAAAGTGAACCAACTTTCCCTTCTATACAACAGTCACTAACCAGGTTTTAGAAGGGTAACTATCTCAACACTGGGTGAACCTTATCATAAAAGAACTATTTAATTCCATTACAACAATGAAAACTCCAGAGAAAGACACTTATTATTAAAGAAAACTGCACATGAAGGCTGAACACACTTTAGTGAAAGCAGAGACACTTATTTAAACAAGAATACAGCTATCACCCTATGCTCTGCCTGATTTACATATATATAGCTTTTAAAATATCACTGCTTCTTTTTTAAGCTGCAAGTGCCTCCAGGGAGGGAGGTTACCAACTCTGTGATTCTGCACAGAACTCCAATTATTAGGTATAAAATACTAAGAAGAATGAGGATGCCTTTATGATGATGATTACTAGATACATACGCCTGGCCAATATAAAAGCTGGATCCCATTTGCTCGGATGGGTTCTTTGCAAGAACATCCCAAGCATGTTCATGCACTTTCCCCTCTGGAGCTTCTGCACTCTGGTGAGTGTGAGCAGGAGCTGATGGGCTGAGCTCTCAGGGCAGCTCCCTCCTTGCCAGGTGCCCTCCTCAGCACCGCCTTGATTTCAGGAGAGACAGTGCCTGCCCTCACTGGAGGGAAAGACTGCAGCAAAACTGAACACTAGTCTGAGGGAACAAGAAAAATGGACCCAGAACTTAATGAATTTATGTGGTTGTGTCACAGAGAAGAAGTGATTCAGAAAAACACAGTGAAGGCTGTGAAGAATAATAGCTGTGAACTGATGAGAATGTATGTATAAAGGCAGTTAGGTAATTGGGTTTAACTGGCAGATATATAAGCTTCATATGAATTTAAAATTGAACACAGCTACATTTATTATAAAGTTGTGAACCAAACTGGTAAATATATATATAAATGCAAATTTAAACTGAATTTAAAGCCAAACAAAGGCTGTAAATTTAGATTGTGCACAACTGAGAGAATTCAGCAGTGAACTGGGAAAAAACCAAACCTCTACATGTGTGGCATGCACACATGATGATGCACACACCAGATGCAACAAAAATAGCAACTTTGCATTAGATCGTATGTCAAATGACTTAGAACAAAAACATCTTTTCTGCAGTAGCAAAATAACTACAGAAATTAATGTAGTGTTCACATGATGATTTTTATATAACATTTTAAAATTTGGAGCAGTCAAGCAAGTCATTCCTCTCCACTGGTCTCCACTATGCACATGAGCTGAAGTACTTTTTCTTTTTGAGATCTCCAGTCACAAGTCTGGAAAGTTATGAGAAGGAATGTGTGATAAAATCCCTTATAATTCATATGAACATTTATGTATTAATATAACCCCCAGAATATTTCACATTAGAAATGTGAATCTTTAACAAGGCTCAAAACTAACCAGAAGTGAGTACTGGAACACCCAATACTTGATATTTTCAAATCTCCCACAAGCTATTCTCAAAACAAGATTAATTCATCAAAAAAAGAAATGTTAGGCTTAACCAAGATAAAATAAAAGATTTGATTCAGTGAGAAAAGGCAGCATTTTGTGGAAAAGTTAGTTTCCTCAGTGGAAAAAGCATCATAAAATAAGCTATTTGTTGTATAAAATAAGCAATTCATAATATCATAATATGCTGTCTATATATTTTTTAAAAAATGCAAATTGTTTATTTTTAATTGCTTACTAGCATCAATATGAAATTTGAAAATAGGCCAATATGCCTCAAGCTATCAGTGGCTCATTGCCAAGAGTATGTACCAATAACAGCTTTAAAAAGATTGACTATCTATATCTATACACATTAGATGCATAACAGCACTACCCTCATAAAAAAACCTTTGCTGACGCACTTCAGTGTTCAGCACCATGGTAAACTACCTGTATATGAAATAAAATAAACACTTAGATCATTCAAACAACAACTTCAGAAAAAGCCGTGTTAAGCTTTTAATGACTACTCACATACTCTCCACAGCAACACAACCTTCAGCATAATTTAGTTCTATGGAAGTGAAATAGAAATGCACAAATGAACAGTTACAAATGAAGAGGTCAATTTAGTCTTCTATATAAAT